TTCAAGAAAATAAAGAGTTTCTGTTCACCGTCCCAAACCCGCTAAACTTGACACCAGTTTTCATAAACCAGGGACGCTAACGATGAATATTATATATTATAACTTACAATACTACGTATTATTTTGATAGAAGCAATTAATTACGTCTGACCTGGGATTAGGCTTCTATTGAAATACAATCTTAACTACTATAAAAAATAAATATGAAAGTAAAATGCAGCAAGATGTAATTATCGATGTTTTTGAGAAATTACTCATATAAATAAGTATGTTTAGATGAAGAAAGATAAATATTTAGAAAACAAAGCAAAAAACACTTGCGTAATAAAGTAGTTTAACTTTTGTTAAGAAGAAACAAACTTATTAAAAGTTTGGCGTCATTACAATAAATAACGCATTTCATATTGATTTACCCCAGTGGCGAATTTAGTTGTTTCTTGAATGAAGGGGGCGCATTATGCATAAAGGAATATTTTTAGGCAAATAATGGATAAATAAAATTTATTTCTGGCCGCAGTTAAATGCTTGTTATAGAACATGAAGAGACAGTGCCGAAACACCGTAAAAATATATTTTAACTCAAAAACTAAAAGAGTTAGGAAGTTGAAATTCTGTCACGAACTTACTCTCCAATAAACAAAGAAACATACAGAATTTCAGCCTTGTAGCTCGGTGCTATCATGGTTAAATTTGGAGTTTTTATGGACAGACAAACAGACATACATTCATTTTTATATATATATAAATTTGGGATTCTGTTCTTGCATTTATTACAATTGCGAGATAGTCAGCGTAAGTTATTAAGTTTACGCCCTCTTCCACCTTAGTATCTAAAATTTCATTATAAAAAACATTCCATAATGTTGGGCTCAGTATTGATCCTTGTGGCACGCCACATGTAATTTGGAATATTTCTCCATTTGCACTTTGCTAAGACTTAATGCTTCTCCTTCGCACAACTTAATAGTCCTCTACTTTTGGATACCTCTTTAACATGATAACTCGGGACGGGAATAAAAGACGAGTTAATATACAAGACAATATTATTGTAAAATTACGTACCCAAATTTATAGTCAGTGTCAGTCGACCCTGTTGAACCTGTTGAGCTAGAAGTAAAAATAATGACAATGTATATGAAACTAACGCTAAAAGCACTAACAACTAAGTTTCTTGACCTGCCCAATTGTGATATCCTTCTGGTTTATATTTTGGACGTTATTAATTAAATTTGCAGCAGTTTAAGTAACCATTTGTCAACGAAAAATATTTTTAGTTGCGCATTGTGTTGATGATTTTGTTTATCACCTTTCGTCTATAATTACTGTTCAGTTCTCCAGGAACCATAATCGGTCCAAACAGCGAAATATTGTTTAGTTTCGGTGGTCGGAGATATAATTCAGAATTTTTTGAGCTCTTACGCGAGGATACAGTTGCCCGCTGATTCGTCGCAGACCAAAAGCTCCGATGCCATTTACATTGCGGTATACTCATCTCAAACTTGTAGCAAGACAGCAAAGCAGTAACATCTTCTCATAAGTAGCAAGTCCATATGCGAACAGGTCCATAAAGATTCGTAAAGATACGTAATTGTCGAAAGCGCTTGGCCTTTTTATACATACATACACACTTATTTACAAAAACTTGTTTGATTGAATTTGGGGTCTATAAAGGCCCATAGATAATCGGGCACCGGACGTCGTAAAATTGCCGGCGACTGGAATTCACGGCAGACCGAAATTTATTTGCTGAAACTGATTGTGCAAAGTATCTCTGTGAAAACTCTGATTTCGACCCATAATGGCCGATTGTGTCTTGGATCGGTTTGTCAGACCGCATGCGGGTACTGTAGATTATTTAATGTTATTGTTGACTTGGGAACACGCGTAAATAATTCAAATGCTATTACAAAAACTGTGGTGGCCCTTCAACCAGAGGAAGTTCAGTTAAAAGATAGACAAGAGAAAGATTATTCAATTTTTCAAGATTCTGACAAATTTGTTTCATGACAAAAAACACAGATTTATTGGTACTTCCGTTCCATGCGAGAGATTATTGACCAAAGCGGGTGCTATCATAACCGAGCGAAGAACTAGACTTAGTAAAAAGCATACACAAAAAATATGCTTAAATCTAAATTCATTTTTAAATAAAAATTAGCTTTTTAAACACTTTCGCACACTTTAAAAAGTAACATGTTACCTTCGGAAACGTATTTTGCAACCTAATACCAAAGTGAAACTACAATGTTGTAACATATTCCAAAAAAATACCGTTTAGCACACCTCTAGCATGTAATAAATAATCAACTGGGTCCCGTGTCTATTATATAAACCATTTAAACGATTTGGTCAACAAAGAAGATATATTTTATGAATTTCAAAATTAAGTCTTCAGCTACCTTCACTTTCAGTACTACGGCCACCTTCACTTTCTTCGATAGCTTTCGCTTGCACAGTAGCGCCAATTTGCTTCCGCACGTCTAATAATTGGAAAGATCTGGTCGAATTAGATTCTACCGAAGAAAGGTAAACTATGTGACTATTTAATGTTCAGTGGAGTCAGTTGTGAAACCTATGAAGAGCAACAAAGCACCTGGAGAAGACGGCATTGTAAGCGAAATGGTAAAACTACCAGGTAAACGCGTTATGACGTACCTAAAAACTCTCTGATGCATACCTCTTAGGAAATACATCAAAACAATGGAATAACGCCATCATGAAAATATTGCATAAAAAGGGAGACATAACAGAAATTGGAAACTACGGCCCTATCAGCTTGTTATATCACTATAAACTCTTCATGAGAATAATTACTAATAGACTGAGACCTAAGCTAGATTTTTACCAACCACTGGACCAAGCCGGATTTAGAAGTGGCTTTGGAACGAATGACCACCTACAACTAAAAAGTATCTAATTGGGAAAGTTATAGAATAGAACAAGCCTTCCTGGCTCAGTCCACTACCGCAGCCTCCTCAGGCTTGTCAACCAGTTTGCCGTTCTACCAAGGAACGTTGCCCGGGGCAGTTTGCCCCCGCAACAGCTACATGTGATGGATTTTAAGCCTTTCGGTGCCCCCCCTAGCTGCTTTCGCCTTTGGCCCTTCACACTTTAGGCCGTTTTCAACCAAAACCGACCGAAACCGCTATTAAAACGGAACCCCAAACTCGTTTCTTGGACCATCCACCCAACTAATTATCGGGGGGATGGGGAGCACCAGTAAGCTCTAAGTTGTCCCATCCTGCACTACCTCCTGGCTTTTACCACTCCGTCTATTCCGGAAGCATGGCCTGGTCTGCCGAAGCATTGTTTGACGCATCACCCACAAAACAAAAGCTTCCTTTACTTTTCCTCTTAGCTCCTTTCAATTCAAAAAAATCCATGATTCTGCCTCAAAAAGTCCAATACGCAATCAATACACAATGTGTGTCCTCGTTAGCAGCGATCCGGCCGAACTTACGACGATACTCCAAGAACTCAGAGTAGTCTCCGAAGCTGTTGGTCTTAAAATAAACCTACAGAAGACCAAAATCATGAGTCATGTAACATGAGAGTCACCATCGAGAACCATACTTTGAAGCTAGTCGAAGAATACATTTATCTGGAACATAACATCAAAATCGGAAAAAGTTATCAAACCGCAGAGATTACCAGACGAATCGGCCTCAGCGGGGCAGCATTCGGGGAGCTTAACTACATACTTCGACTACCAAAAATCCCAGTATACCTAAAGAAAAAGGTGTACGATACCTGCATCCTGCCTGTGGTAAGATACGGACTCGAAACCGCCACCCTTGCAGCGAACAGCGCAAGCCGTCTCCGAATATGCCAAAGAGCGATGGAACGAGCAGTGCTGGGAGTAACTCTGCGAGACAGGATCCGAAACGTAGATATTAGGCGGAGGACAAAAGTCTGTCACGTCGTGGAAAGAGTGGCGAAGCTCAAGTGGGAGTGGGCGGGGCACCTGGCCCAAAATAACTCAAAATGGACAAAAACACTAATGCAATGGAGACCAAGGGAAACAACAAGAAGCATAGGGCGTCAGCAGGCAAGGTGGAGAGACGACTTCCCGCGACATGCGGGAAAGAATTGGATAAAAACCGCCCAAGATAGATCGATATGGAAGTCATTGGAAGAGGCCTAGATATGTCCAGGATTGGACGAACACAGGCTAAAAAAGAAGAAGAAGAAGAACCTTTTAAAGGGATATACGACACTATTCACTGAATTAGTCTGTATAAACGAAGTAGTTAGATTACAGCTGACCGCGTCTCATAATTAACACCCAATATAATTTGAAAGACATTAATTTAGATGGTTTAGTTCTTGTGTTACGAATATCTAACAAAAATTCTTATTTGTAATCCATATTTATTCCAGGTTCCCTCGAGTAACAAAAATACGAACCGATAAAACGTGGGAGACGGCAACGAATGTAGCAGAGTTAAAAACTTTGTTTAAAAACTCCAAAGAAAACACCGACGTCAGTCTTCTTTTGAAAGAATATAACGACGAAACCTGTACTGACGATCACTCTATATCATCTGAAAATGTTGATACAACTAATAGTTCCCCCAAGAAACGAAAGTTGTTGGACGAATCTTGCGGTGCGTCGGGTAGTGTTGCGGCTTCATCTAATTCACCAAAAAAAATTAAGGAAGAACCGCATGCTATCGATAAGTTGAAGCAGAAAAATGCCCATAGCAAACAAATACCAAAGACAACTAAGACCAAAGAGGAGTTTGATGGAACAATCGTGAAATTGGAAAAACCTTTACCAATATTATTTGAAGCCATCAAAGCTCTATTCATTAATTCTGACCATCCGGAAATTGAGAGGTACGTAAGTGTAAATGATAAATACAAGAAAATTGGTTGAAAGAAATGAAGAAAAATGTTCAACGCATTGGAAAATTTTGATGAATAAGTACATATTTGAGAGTAATTTTAGCAATTCAATGCCATTAAAGCTATTTGTTCCATATTAGCAAACAAATGCTTTATTTAAAAGGCACTAAAGCATTACACTTTGCATTTAAACATCTTTCTACAGACATCGCTAGAGTACATCGACGAATTGTTTACACATTGAGTGGAAAAAGTTAAATATCTTGTTTTGACTACTTTAAGAAATGCAAAAATATTAAGAGGCATTCTATCAATATAATATTTTTTAGGTATTTTTTTGCTTACGGTGGGGAAATTCTCAAACCAGAGAAGGCAGAAGAAGCAACTCATATATTTCACTCTAGTAATAAAATCAAGGAAGTGAACGAAATGTGGCCAAAAAATTCTAAACATTTACAAATAAAATGGGTGGTGGATTGTGTAAACAACCAGAATTTAGTGCCGATGGAAAGTTATATGGTTAAATGGAAACCGACATATAATAATATTCAGGCGATGAAACACAATGAACTATTTCATAGGTTGTAGCAGTGTTATGCATATAGCATAGAATGTAATTATAAAATTAGGTCAATTTTCCAGTTTTGTCTAAATTCAAGACGCCTTTGGTTCGAAAATAATTTTAATGAAAATTATAACTACCTAATCTCCGTGATTTTTAAATTTAAATATTTTTTTAAAACTAAGATGATTTAAAAGTAGATGATCCGTTCAGTTCCATTTACAAATTTCATGAATTTGCTCTATTAATACCGTGATTTTACGAGTTAGGTGCAGAAACAGAAAATTATATTTTATGTCAGTATTTAAACTGAGTTTTGAAACTGTTTCGATTTTTTAATTTCTGCCCTTAATCAAATCAGGAGCAGGTAATAAGACTGTTCTGGTAACATATCCATCTAATGCTCTACTGTTCTGATCCACAAGTGGAAATAATACTTTTATGCTTAACGCCTTCACAACAAAATCAATATTTATGTAAACACTCTCATTCTCTAAAATTAATATACCGTTTCTGTTTACCGCGTGTATTTATGTAAATAAACTTTTCTTTTCTTGAATTTGGACTTTGTTTTTTTGTATTCAGCGATTTCTATTGTTTCTTAAGAAATTGGCATAGGCTTTGAAGCAACATATCAGCATTTGTAACATTTTCATTAAGGTTTGAACTGAGCACAACTTTTTTAAATCAATGTGTAAATGTTCAGGGTTAGTTTTTATTGTCAGATGGTTGCTTTTGAGTTATCGCGTAATTGATGTCGTGGCAGATAAGTCATTTGGTTATCTCGTTCTATTTGTTCTTCTGGCGGAGTATCATCTTCTTTTGTTCCTGCTGTGGATTAGCGAATTGCCCCTGTAGTTTAGCATAGATTACCTGGGGATGGCATCGCTGGTGCTGCTACCCGAAACGAAAAAAGTATCCTTCAGTTTTCAGTGGTGGTGAATGGCTTACCCATAGAGGGGACTGGGAGTCCGTGCTTTTGGACTGTTCTCCTTGGCTGCGTCGGATTGTGTATCAGTTTCATATTCCACAACGTCTGTTCGAAATTTCCTTTCCTCTAGCTTCGCCTTGAGAAGTCTGATGGCATTTTGCCACTTCTGGTAAATCCAGGTCTTCCCTGAATATCTTCTTTAGCCGGGGTCCCTTCTTTTGTTGAATATGGGTTTTTACTGAGCTCTAACAAGACCTGCGTTCGGTGAATAACTTAGAGTCGCACGACTGGCGGCTGATTATCGATAACGTGCTGTGTGTTATAATCTGGGCAATATTATATGTCACATATTATTAATAACTCACATGATCATCTGTTTCACGATATGTGATCGATTTACTGACATACAAAGCTCCCTTTGTTCAGCTCGAAAGAGCTTGCTCACTAGTGGTAGGAAAAAAGTTAACTAATAGTTAATCGAGTTCCTTTTACTCGTTCGAATTCGAAGTAACAAATATTGAAACCAAGCTATCAAACGAGAATTCAAGTAATCAGTATTTGTTCTCAGAAAACCAGATCACCCATCCTAACTTTTGAGTCCGAATCCGAATACGTTACTACTCGTATTTCCTCAGACTAACTAGTAACTAGAAGTAACTGGTGACTGGTAACTAGTGAGTGCCAGTACCAAATACCGATACCGATCGCTACGTTTTCGCGCGATTTTCAACGTCGGTCGTTCCTAATCAGTAAAAACAGCGTTGCCCGTTGCCGTTTTGTAATCTTGAATTATGTTTTTTCTTTTTACATTTAAATTTATAATATAAAATTTCACTTGATAATTGCAACTTATTTAAAAAATGCATATTTGTAAAAAGACGTTTATTAAAATTGATAATTGTCGCACTGTATTACTACTGTACCACAACTAATTTATTGATGTGTGGCATCTGGCTTCACCGAGTTAAAAACTTGCTTTCCAAAATTCTTGAAAAAGGACAATTTATGTGGGAAAGTGCCAGTATTGACAACCGTGAGGGTTCTAAATGACGAATGAAATGAAGGGAGTAGAATTTACAATTGACTTAAAAATGGTCTGTTTATTTACTCTTAGACGTAAATAGGATATCTATTAGGGGAATCATAAATTCAAGGGTTCCATACGGTTTGTATGATTAAAGAGGCCGTGGAACAAATCTGAAGGAAATGATATACCAACATGGGCCCTCGACTTTCGTAAGATTAACGACTAGATCGAGTACTTGAATAACTGATCCGAAGTAACTAGTATTGAATCCAAAACTAACTAGTCGTTACGAATATTTAAAAGTAATGGAATCTCATACCACTATTGCTCACTCTTTTGGTGCAATTGTAAATGACACATTTAAAAACTTAAAAACTTGTACCTGCAGTGCTGTGAGGACCTTTGAAGGCGTTGCAGTAATTTTGGCTTACCTGCTAATTTCGATGGCTCACTTTGATACTAATGGATTTGTAATTTCAGTGTCTATTCTAGGGGTAAGTTGTAGTTGAATCGTTGCTAACTTTTTCTTTCATTGCTTTTTATATTTGAACACATAAGAATATAGCTGGAATTTCTGCTTCGCTCTTAATTTGGGGGTCACTGCTCGCCTTGATGGACGACGCGGGAAAGGGCGGGGCGACCCTACCTCATTGAATGTTAACATTAACAAAAAAAACAATTTTCACAGAGATACCCCTAAGGGGCCTCAATCGAACGATCGTCAGGTTATACTTTACGACAAAAATATATTGGACCTTCTTTGGTTTACGTAGAACTACAAACAGGTACAAACACAGGCCGGTTCTCTCACCTAAGGATAGCACGTGATATCTTTAACCTAAAACTGAATGATCTTAAAAAAATTAAAAATAAAGGTTTGAATAGAATTTGTGTGGAATTCCATACATTTAACTCTGCCAATAAGCTTTTAGAAGATACTCTATTAATACAAAAAGGATACAATGTATTTATTTCCCTGAATTTTACAACATTTAAAGGCTTGGTAAAACAAATCGATATAGACTTCTCTAAAGATGAAAAACTGACTGCTTGTAGTTGCAGAAGCAACATAATTAACATTAAAAGACTGAGTAGAAAAGTAATTAAAAACGATAAGACTGAATACATTCCAACTGGTACCTGTTTATTTACTTTTAAAGGCACCATTATGCCAAGAGAGATTAAATTTTTTGGGCTACCCCTACCCGTTTCTGTTTACATCTCACCTGTGACGTAATGCTACTCGTGCCTGTTATACGGACATACACGAAAAAACCGTAAAGGCCAGGAAAAATGTTATAATTGCGGGGAAAAAAACTCTAGGATCATCTAATTCTTACCAATGGTGATGACAATCCCACATCATACTCATGTTCAGTTAAGTGTCATTTTTGCAATGAAACTCACAAGAGTACCTATAAGAAATGTCCTGAATACACCAGGCAACAAAATATCAAAAAATTAATGGCTTATGAAAACTTGACTTACCATGATGCATCAGTCGCCTGTAAAAAAAGGTACAGAATACCAAACGACTATTTTTACAATCCATCAGATTTCCCAGATACACTCACGCAATCCTACTCTACCAATAATGACAATATCCATTACACCTAGTCAAAGATGACAGACTCATTTTAACAATAATCCAAAAAAAGAACATACACTCAAACGATGATTAATGAAGCGCAACGAAAGAGAGTCGTACAACAATCCGGTGGTTATGATCGTAACGCTCATAATGAAGCCCTTTATTTCCCCAACTCTAGACCAGATCAATCAAACACCTCTGGTAACCCCATCCCCTCCTCATCTAAAAACAACACCATAACAGCTGAGTGTAACATAACACAACAACGACATTCATATTTCCATCCGCCTTATAGTGCCTTTAATATTAATCCGGAAAATAAGTATAGAAATGAACAATATATGGAAACTTCAAGCTCACAAGAATACATAAACTTCTTGTTAGATAAGTTTTTAGAAATGCCAAGTGGCAAAGTTATATTGCACCAAATTATCTTAAGTCATTTAAACAATGAAACATATAGGGATTGACGATTCCTATATGACACAATATCTCACTAAATAACTTCACAATACCTTCAAAAAATTTCCTAAAAATTCTACAGTGGAATATTAGAAGTTTCAGAGAAAATAGAGGCGATGTAATTAATTTAATTCACATCCATAATCCAGATATATTTTAGGCATATGACCGAATTCAAGGAAACTTTCCGAAATCTCGTTGGAATTCTAGATTACCATTTTAAAGATAGGCGACACATAACGACTATTGTTAGGATGAGAACAGGCCATTGTTTAACACGCCAACATTTGTTTAAATTGAACATTAGGGACGACCCCTACTGCGATTGCGGATCTATTGATGATCTTGACCATATCTTTTTTTAATGTCGCATTCACGAGATACCAACATTTAACATTTATCAAGGACTCATTAAGCTGGGCGTAATGGCCCCATTTAATATAGGCACAATCCTTCACCAAACCATGGAAAGTGGTAGACACCCTAATGAAATTTATAACGATTAACAAACTTGAATTATAAGAACATTTTTTGAATTTCAGATATAACAGCTGAATCAAACTTCAACCTTGTGTGATCGTCTTGACCTGTTCCTGATATTGGTTCTACATTCCCATGTGTGTAGTGTAGCAGTGGTGTTCGCCTTTGTTGTGAAAGTTTTTTGTTCCTCATTTAACAGTACAATTTAAAAGTTCTACGGCACCTCAGAGTACTTACACTACAAAATTGTAATATTTTCTGGGGGTTGGGGAGTACAAACTTGACCATCTCAACCCCCTTACAACTCGCGCTGGCGAATTGCCTGGTAGCAGCGCCAAGAAGAAACGCCAAGACAAGACAACTTGTACCTGAAATGGTAATAACAATAGACATGGATTTACATGGTTAACACCCTGTTTCTCGTTCATGTCGAAGTAGGCTTGAAAGTTTTTGAAGCTGGTTCATGATAGTTTTTCGGAGCTGGTCCGCTAAGATGACTCGCTCATCCATCAAGACGTCGTTATTGATTGAGATGGTATCCGCGTAATTGTAGTAAGGTGCCAATTCGGAGTCGTTCTTATCGGTCGGTCCATCCATTCTTGACTCTTTCCATAACTTTTCGTCCATAACGTCATTTAGACGCTGCGTCTAACCTTGAGAATGAAACAGGTGGCGACTACAGACCGCTAGTAGCGGCTACAAAAAGCTCGTGTGCGGGTCTGTAATTAAAATAATGAGTTCCATTTTCAGTGTCAAAATTGTCGCGCAATAAGTCGCCCGTCTGCGGGTGCCCTAAAGGCCTGAATTCGCTTGTGCGATTGTCTGACGCAAGCAGCGGCTGCAGCGTCCATCGCATGCGTCGTAGGTGGGTTCGCTTGTGCGTCTAAAAGTTGAGGAAAGTCGGCAGCTCCACCACAGTGAAGAGGAAAATTTGAGTATTTAATTAATTATTAGCATCATGGAGCTTGTATTCGCCCTTTTATTAGAAGAAGATAATGAAACCATGATTCCGTTATTAATTAGGACCAGAAAACCTCATCATTCTATGTACAAACATCGATACTAAAT